GGATCTGCGCTATTCTGAAGACTAGGCGACAGACCATACTGATGGACTGAATGTGGTTTTTCAGGTGTCAGGCCTGCACACTGAGTGAACAGTAATGACCATGAGACAGGGAAGGCTGGAGGAGAGGGGAGGAAGCGGCCAGGAATGAGGAATACTAATTTGGAAGTTTAAGAGGAAGGCTGAGAGATCAATTTTGTTTATGTGTGAACTTTGAGATCACTGTGAGGCAAACAAGTAGAGATAACAGGAAGGCAGCAGTTGAAAATGCAATTCTGGAACCAGAAAAAGGTCCAGGTGGGAGGTGTAACTGAGGGAGTCATCTGCAGTCAGAGGGTATTAAATCCTGGGAACAGATGAGATCATTTAGGGAGAGAATATGATGAGAGAAGGGAGGTAATCAAATGAGAAATGAGAAGTAATAAAACAGGTTGGTAATCTAACACTGATTGTAGTAATGTTAAAAACACAGAGAAAAATTAAAAATAAATTCTTAACACATTACCTTTAGGCTTTAAAAAAAAAAAATTCACTTTGGATTTTTCCTGAAAGTTTCTGTATATTGGAGGCCCAAGAAAAAAAATTTTAAGCCGAAACCGGTTTGGCTCAGTGGATAGAGCGTCGGTCTGCGGACTGAAAGGTCCCAGGTTCGATTCCGGTCAAGGGCATGTACATTGGTTGCGGGCACATCTCCGGTAGGGGGTGTGCAGGAGGCAGCTGGTCGATGTTTCTCTCTCATCGACATTTCTAGCTCTCTATCTCTCTCTATTTCTCTCTGTAAAAAAGTCAATAAAATATATTTTAAAAAAAATTTTAAGTTCTCTGTTTGGATTGTATTCAGAAGGATCCTTTTCCTTAAGAACAAAAGTGAAATTTTTTTCAAAAACTCACTACTTGAAATTCAAGACTTTAAAACGCTTACTCTCACACTATGTCCTCTCTGTAAACATTCTACCTTAAGATACACTTTTTCCAATCCTTATAATAAAAATGCAATTATATGTTTCATTATCAATGTCCTTTCATCATTATCAACTGGTCCTTTCAAATAGTCCAAGAGTTATATGAGAGGTGTAAAATGCTCAAGAAATCAAGAACTTGTTTTAAAATGTTAAAAAACAAAAACTTAAGTGTACCTTCTAGGCCATCCAAAAACCGATAAGCAAGGAGCCAAAAAGGATAGAATTGCCAGGAAAAATATGTAAATATAATAGCTATTCCTCAACTGAAAACACATTAAAGCTGTAATTATATCTCTGGGTGTTTGGTAACCCAAAAAACTCTATGCTCTTGAGGCTTACACTATCACTAAGAACTACCAAATTGAAATCATAGTTGTAAACATAACTGGGATACTTTATATGTTTAAAAGATTCCTAATGTTTCACAAGGGGTGATGCATAAGAAGGAAAGTCAGTAACATTTGCCAAAACTATTCCTTCCCTCGATTGTGAAATTAAATCAAGACTGAATTTTTTTTTTTTACAATCATAAGACTCACTTTGTAAAATTCTTCTGTTCAGATATATAAAGGAGAGGACTAGCCTAACTTGTAAGAGATTGTTAATCCATTTCATGATGTAACTATGCAAAAGCATAGGAGGCTACCAGGAAGGTCACATGAATTGATGGATAACGAGCATTCATTCATTCAGTCAACAAATATTAAGCACCCGTCACATGCCAGGTGCTATTCTGGTCCTGAGATTACATCAGTGAAAAGGCTCACATTTAGGGGTTAATGGGGGAGACAATAAAACAACTAAATACATAGGTATTTGCCAAGTGGTGTAAGTGCTATGAGGAAAGGAAAAGTGGGTTGAAAGAAGGCTGGAGAATGGAGGGTATATTCCACACGATGATCAGGGAAAGCCTGATGGTCATACCTGAGCAGAGACTTGAGGCCAGTACCATGATATGCAGGGAACAAAGTTCTAGATAGAGGAACAGCAAGTGCAAAGTCATTGAGGCTAGGGTATGCTTGAAGTTTGTTTTGTTTTGTTGTTTTGTTATTTAATATATTTTATTGATTTTTTTTACAGAGAGGAAGGGAGAAGGATAGAGAGCTAGAAGCATCAATGAGAAAAACATCGACCAGCTGCCTCCTGCACAACCCCTACCAGAGAGATGCCCGCAACCAAGGTATATGCCCTTGACCGGAATTGAACCGGGATCTTTCAGTCCGCAGGCCAACGCTCTATCCACTGAGCCAAACCGGTTTCAGTATGCTTGAAGTTTTTAAGGCATAGCAAAGAGAACCATCCAGCATGGCTGAAAGTGAGGACAGGGAGGTAAGCCTAGCAGGCAAGAATTTCCAATTTTACTTTAAAATGATAATCTACTGGAGTGCTCTAACAGAAGTTCTAACTTTTTTAAAAGATCACAAAGGGAACACAAGTTCTTACTCATAAAAATAAAACAAGTAGATATCTCTCAATCTATTCATAAGTTTAAAAAAAAACAAAAAAAAAAACAAACATACACTAAAACAACCTTATAGTATGGTAGCATTTTTGTAAAAAAAAAAAAAATACACATAGAACAAAAAACTAAAAATATTGTGATTTACTATGCTTTGTGTGATTGTGATTTTTTTCTTAGGTTTTGATTTTTAGTTTTCTGCCTTAAACTCAAATTACTTTTGAAAATTTAAATGTTATCTTAAGGGGCTGCACTGCCACTGTGAGACTGCCTTAGTCTAAAATTTTAATTATGGGGGGGGAAAACAAAAGAAAAATAAAGCATGGGAAACATTATCTCCAAAAATTACTCGACTTTCTATGTAATGTTTGTCTGTTACGAAGCACTGCACAAATCAAGTGCTGCTCAATGTATCAAGGTCACAAAACCAACTTGGTTAATATGTTTATCATTACATTAGAGGCCCAGTGCATAAAATTCGTGAGGGGGCGAGGGGAAGGTGTCCCACAGCCCAGACTGCACCCTCTCCAATCTGGGATTCCTCTCATAGTCCGGGACTGCTGGCTCCTAACTGCTGGTGTGCCTGCCAATCTGATCGCCCCCTAACTGCTCCCCTGTCCACACCATAACCCCAACTGCCCTCCCCTGCTGGCCTGTTTGCCCCCAACTGCCCTCTCCTGCAGGCCTGGTTGCCCCCCAACTACCCTCCCCTGCCGGCCATCCTGTGGTGGCCATCTTGTGATGAGGCGGGGCCCACCTAGGCTTTTATTAGTATAGATAGCTCAGTCCTCTAAAGCAACTCTGATTACCATCTTTTCCAGGGCAGCAACAGAAAGCCCTTTTCATTAATTTCCTAAGCCTCTTTGATACTATATTTTGCTGCTTCTGGATTTTTCCACTGTACGTCTCTTAGAAACAAATTAAGCCAGAATAAGTTGTTCCAGCTAATGAAGTGTACTTTGGGTTCTTTCCCCGTGATTGAGAATTACCCAGCAAAATACCAAATTGTTTCAGGACGCATTTTCTCTTAAGTTTTGAAATACTGTAATACTACGTTACTACAAACAAAGCGCATCGAGATAAGAATATACAAAAATGTGTATACGTGGAAACTACGGGAATCCTTTTTTAAAGCAAGGATAAGTGTGGGGGGGTCTCCTGAGTAAATTACTATGTGTCCACATAGTTTAAAACAGAAAGAACACATGCCCTCCCCTACTCCTTTACCATCATTTAACAGTTTCTCCTGGGGCACAAGCTCAGGACAATCAGGAATGCAAACCACTCAACTCAAAAGGACTGGGGCTCTCAAACCCTTTGCACCTGAGCGCCACATCACACCCTCTGCCCCAGTGTTTCCCAAACTTCTCTCAGGATGAGAATCACCTGGTGCAGGGGTCCTCAAACTTTTTAAAGTGGGGGCCAGATCACGGTCCCTCAGAGAGCTGGAGGGCCGGACTATATGAACTACTAATTCCTACTGTAACACCTCGGCTTCGCTCACTGCCCAAAAAACCTGGCGGGCGGATCAGATTCCTCTGCGGGCCGCATGTGGCCCGCGGGCCGTAGTTTGAAGACGCCTGATTCCCGAATCCCAACTAAGAATTGCTAAACTAGAATTTTACCTATATGTTCCCCAAAATTCTAGTTTAGCACTTCTTAGTTGGGATTCGGGAATCTGTAATTTAACAACCCCACCAGGTGATTCTCATCTGGAGAGAAGTTTGGGAAACACTGCTCTACCCGACCCACTGTCAGCGGGAGAGGCTCCTCCAAACGGACACCCCACACCGGGAAGGTTCAACCAGCCCCCCCACCGCTCACACGCCCCCCCGCGGCATCCCATCCGGGGCCCGGCGCCCGCCCGCCCGGGGCTTTCTGCTTTCACGAGACCAAACAAGGCTTCCAGGGTTCGAGACCCTCCTGCTCCTCAAAGAAATGGATCGAGCCCCATCCACCTGCCTCCCAGGCGGAGCCGGCGCCCTGTACACCGGAGGCAGCGGCCGGGCCTCCCCCGCGGGACACACGGGCCGGCGGGAGCGGGAGCGGGAGCGCGCGGCTCTGCCCGCCCAGCACCTCCACCACCGCCGGCCAGGCCGCCCCGCTCCCCGCCCGGCTCCCGGCGCACGTGCCGCGCCCCCCGCCCGCCCCCGGCGCCCCCCGGACACGCACCCGCAGGCGGGCGAGCATCCGCGGACCCGCTTCCCCTCCACACCCCCTCGCGGCTCCTCTCCCGGCGGCCCGGCCGACCGGAGCCACACGGCCCGCCAGGAGCGGGGTCCCCCGCGCCCCCGGCGCACCGGCCCACCGGCCCGGAGGGGGGGGAGGTGCTGACAGATGGGCGGGGCGGGGCCTCGGGGGGAAGGGGCGGGGCCTCCCGCCATGGAGGTGCTGGCGGCTGACAGGCAGAGCGGGCAGCGGCGGGAGGGGGCGCGGACGCCGCGGGCGGGCAGGGCCGGGGCCGGGCGTGGCGGGAAAGAGCCCGCGCGGACACGGGGGCGCTGACAGGCGGAGAGACACGCAGACGCGGGGGCTGACAGGCGCGGGGACAGGCGGGCCGGCGGGCCGCGGCGGGCGCTCACCTGGCAGCGGCGGCGGCGGCGGCCGGGCGGCTCTCCCCGCGCTCCGGGCCTCCCTCCCGGCGGCCGGCCGGCCGGACGGCCGGTGCAGGCCCCGCTGAGGCGGCGGCGGCGGCGGCGGGGCCGCAGACTGCTGAGCGGCGGGGGACGCAGCTGCACCAACCGATTCCCGGCCGCTCGGCTCGGCTCGGCCGCGCTCGGAAACGCTCGGCTCCGCTCGGCCCGGCTGGGGGCGTGGCCCGAGGCCCCCCGCCCAGGTCGCCTCCGGCGCCGGGGGGCGGGGCTCCGCGCGGCGCGAGCCCCCCTGACGCTCCCGAGAGCGGGCCGGGCCCCGGCGCATGCGCGGGCGGCGGGCGGCGCTGCCCCGCGCGGGACCGGCGGGGGCTGGGAAGAAGGGGCCGGGGCGGATGCTGCGGCCCCAGAGGTTCCCGGCTTTTGTGTTCCACATCCTGGCCTTTTTGGAGGACCAGCTAAGGAAGGCCACGCCAAGCCACACTCTGAAAAGGATGTGGGCAGGGCAGGGGCCAGAGGCCACCGGCCATCCCCGCCCTCTCCCCTACTCGGGCCAGTGTCTCCCAACACGCGCCACCTTGGGAGTCCGTCTTCCCTTTATCCCACCGACTGGCACGGCACTGCAGCTTTGAAACTCTTGTTTCCTAAACAGAACAACAAACTTTAAAAATAAATAAATAAATAAATAAATAAATAAATATATTATTGATTTTTTACAGAGAGAAGAGAGCCAAACCGGTTTCAGCAGAACAGTTTATATATATATATATATATATATATATATAATATAATTTAATAATATAATATAATAATATATTATATATATAATAATATAATTTTATATACATACATATATATATATATGTATGTATATAAAATTGATTTTTTACAGAGAGGAAGGGAGAGGAATAGAGCTTAGAAACATGGATGAGAGAAACATCAATCAGCTGCCTCCTGCACCCCCTACTGGGGATGTGCCTGCAACCAAGGCACATGCCCTTGACGGGAATTAAACCCAGGACCCTTGAGTCCGCAGGCCGATGCTCCATCCATTGGGCCAATCCGGTTTCGGCAGAACAAACTTTTGATAACTGCTTTCCTAACGATGAATGTTCAGGTGCTTGAAACTTGGAAGCATCCATCAGCCCCCTGATAGAATAATGATGTGCCTCTTCACAGCTTCTGCTGTGTAATCGGTAACACCTGGGGTGGGAGTGGGGCTCTCTTCCTCCCACGGCTCCAGGTACCATGTTTGTTATGGAGCCCAAGTCTATATAGCAAATAGGCCCAGGAAGTGGTCCCCACCTTTAGAATCTAGTGATTAATAAACCGCAAGAGCTCTGCCGTCTGACTAACTGGGTTGGAATCCCAGATCTGCCTTATATCAGCAGATTCATAGCTGGTGGAGTGACTCTGGATATACTGCTTAATCTCTCCTCCGTAAAAGAGCTATGAAAATAGTAGTAACGAAGCCCACAGGAATGGTGGAAAGGATTAAATCACAGCAGCACATGTGAGGTTTTCCACCCAGTGCCTGATGTTGAATAACTAAGGCTGGCTTTAACTTCGGTTTGCTTACAATTTTCAGAGCCTGAAAACCAGTGAACATACCCAAGGGTGGGCAAATGTAGTGAGCATGTGAAAATTTATTTTTGTATTATATATTTTTCTATATGAACTGTAAACCTACTTTTGCCCCTCCTCCCCCCCCCCCCCCCACACACAAGTGCTGAGCAATATGTCAAACTTGCCAGCTACAATGCCAAACTGAAAATTGCTCATCATCTTGCTCCTTTCACAGTCTTCCCCACCTCAATGTCAATTCCATCCTTCTGGTGGCTCGGGACAAACCATCCTGAGCTGGAATCATCCTCAGTTGGTGGCTGGTATCACATCCCACCTGCAATCTAGCAGCAAAGCTTGTCAGCTCTCCCTACAGTAAGCAGCCTCCTCTCCTCTTTCCTGGAATTGCAAGAAACCTGCTACCTGCTCTCCCTGAATTCTCTCTGCTCTCATGGAGAGTTCTCAAGCAGCCAGAGGGATTCTGCTGAAACCTAAGTCACAACATATTTTTCCTCTAAAGCCTTCAATGGCTTCCCACCTCACTCAGAACAAAAACCGAGGACCTTCAAGATTCTATGCGACTGCACCCCTCTGCTCCCCAGCACTCTGCGCCTCCCTCCAATCCACCCCCTCACTCCATTCCAGCCACAATGGCCTCCTTCCTCTCCTAGATCATGCAGGCCACTTTCGCCTCAGGACCTTTGCCCTTGGTATTTCTTCCCCCCTGCCCCCCAAGATATCAAAAAGGCGTGCATCCTTACTCCAAATAACTGCTTAGAAGCCAGCTCCCCAGACAGGCTGGTGTGGCTCAGTTGGTTGAACACTGATTGACCCATGCACCAAGAGCTCAGGGGTTTGATTCCTGATCAGAGCACATGTCCGGGATTTGGGCTCAGTCCCCAGTAGGGGGCCTGCAGGAGGCAGCCAGTAAATTTTTCTCTTTCTTAGATGTTTCTATTTCTCCCCCTCTCCCTTCCTTTCTCTCTGAAGTCAATAAAATATATATATATTTAAAAATCAACTCCCCAGAAAGACCTCCCAGGCCACTCTAAAATATCAAGGCCCAACCCCCTTCACTCTTTTTTTCCTCATCCTGTTTTATTTTTCCTCATGGCCCTTATGACCTGAATATCATTTGTAATGTCCCAAGGGCAGCAACTTTGTGTTCTAGCATCTGGAGCATGGCCTGACATGACCTATCATCTGTAATGTCCCAAGGGCACGGACTTTATATTCCAGCATCTGCAACACGGCCTGACATGCCCAAGCACTCAATAAATACTTGTTGAATGAAAGTATATATGGAATGTGTTGTTCCAAAGGACTCCATTTACTCAACCAACTCTTCTGAGCATGTATTCTAGCCCGGGCCCTGTGGGAGGCAGCGGTAAAGGAGTCACCCTCCTGGCCACTGAGAACTCAGTGTTTTGGAGCAGACAGGCATGTAAAGAAGGGCCTCTGGAAGGAAGTATGGAAAGCTCTTGGATAAGCCAACTGCTTTGGGAAGTGGAGAGAAGGACATAATTCATACTACATAAGAGAGGGTGGAAAGGCTTCTCAGAGGAGGTGACGCCAGGCTGGTTCTAAAGAGATGAGGGGGAGGAGACTCCAGGCAGAGGAACCAGCACTGGGAGGTTTGTCACAAATCTCCTTTGCCGAAGGAGGCAAATTATTATTTTTTAAAATATATTTTATTGAGTTTTTACAGAGAAGAAGGGAGAAAGATAGAGAGTTAGAAATATTGATGAAAGAGAAACATCGATCAGCTGCCTTTTGCACACCCCCTCCTGGAGATGTGCCCTCAACCAAGGCACATGCCCTTGACTGGAATTGAACCCGGGACCCTTCATTCTGCAGGCTGATGCTCCATCCACTGAGCTAAACCAATTTCGGCCAAATTATTATTTTTTAAATAATTTAAGAAGATTCCAGGTGGTTCCTATAATGTCACCTGCACTTACACTCTGATGAGCTTTCTCAAGTGGGAAAGAAACTATCAGAAGAAGAGTTGATGCAATAGAGTTATAATCTGAGCTCCATTTCTATTGGAGCGAGCTACACCTGTGACTTTTTTATGTCAGGGTCCAGAGGCAAAGAGCATGAATCATTAGACGTTTGCTGGCTGAAAGGACCAGTTACCCAGCAGGCCAGTTTAAGGAAAATAAAAGGAGTACTTAGAAGCTTGGGGTGGGGCAGGAGGGTGGTTCTCTCAGGCCAAGGGCAAGAACCCAGCTGGACTTCTGGATGAATTGGAAGCAGAGCAAGGGTTACCAGTAGGACCATCTCTCTCTGCAAACTTGTTTTCTCTGATTCATGATAATAAAATGGATGTATGTCTGCCAGCCACTCCCAAGTACAGGACAATTCCAACTATCCAGAGAGACTAAAAACCACTAATTGTTCCAATTTCCAAATCTCAGAAAAGAGGCTCTCATTGACCCAACTTGGGCCAGGTGCCCCCTCCTAGTTCACCAGGAACCACCGCCGTGGATCGGGACCGCAAGAAAGAAATTGTTTTGAGTTGAGGAGATAACTTAATAGAACTCCCTCATAGAACCATTAATTTCACGTAACGGAAAAACATCTGGGAGACATTTGATTGTGACACAGGAGAAGATTATTGAGTTTCTGATTTCTGCTTAGTAGGGAGGCCTCTTTGTAGGCAGCAATCAAAACAGGAAGTTGTTCTTTTCCCAACAAAAAGTGGACTGAGCCCCGACCAACCGGTTTGGCTCAGTGAGTAGAGTGTCAACCTGTAGACTGGGGGGTCCCAGGTTCGATTCCGGTCAGGGGCATGTGCCTTGGATGCGGGCACATCCCCAGTGGGGGGCTTGCAGGAGGCAGCTGATCAATGTTTCTCTCTCATCGATGTTTCTGCTCTCTGTCCCTCTCCCTTCCTCTCTGTAAAAAAATCAATAATATATATATATATATATATATGTGTGTGTGTGTGTGTGTGTGTGTGTGTGTGTGTGTTTTTGTTTTTTTAAGTGGACCGATACTGAGGTGGTCTCCATTAGTCCTCTGTAGTGGGTATTCTGATGGCCTCCTATGGTAGTTGACATTAATGCCAGCCACCAAAGATTTTTGGGTTTGCTTATAAGACACCTGTTAGGATTATACTTCTTTACATCTTGGAGTCAGGAGTGGTCATGTCACTTCTGTTTACTATGGTCAATAAAGTATGAGCAGAAGAAGTATATCACTCCTAGATCAAATATTTAAGAGCTAGTAGGCTATTTTTTGTTTTCTCTTTCCCTCAGTAACAGCAAAAGACAATACTTGAGATACTTATAAGTCCATCAGCCAAAGTCCTGGAGTGAGAAAACATGGAATAATGCCCCTAGACCTCTGGTCAGCAAACTGTGGTTCGCGAGCCACATGCGGCTCTTTGGCCCTTGAGTGTGGCTCTTCCACAAAATACCACGGCCTGGGCGAGTCTATTTTGCAGAAGTGGCATTAGAAGAAGCTTAAGTTTAAAAAATGTGGCTCTCCAAAGAAATTTCAACCGTTGTCCTGTTGATATTTGGCCCTGTTGACTAATGAGTTTGCCGACCACTGCCCTAGATGACCCACAGTGAACATGTATTGTAGTATTAGCAAGAAATACACCTTTGCTGTTACTAAAAAAATAAAAAAATGGTGCTTGTTTGTTATCACAGCAAAACCCAGCCTATCCTGAGAGATGCATCTTCCTAACATCCAGTCTATCTCATGCCCCCATTGTACAGCAAGACAATCTGAGTAGGATGGACCCTCATCTCCCACATGGGGTGTGGACCCTACATCAGTTGAAGTAATCTCAGGCACCTTGTATTGGCTGCTCCAGGGATAGCCCTCTTACCCTGGCCTAAACCTATCAGTACCCAATATTCACGTCATTGCAATAG